TTTTTTTGTATCATTGACACTTATAAATTTACAGGTGATCATGTATTGTGTTATATTATATTTCTGAAAAATTTAAGGGATAGTTATATAATAATTTTGGATGATCTTGAGTGGTTAGATACTTATGACTACTACTGTATACTGCAAAACTAATACAATCAAAATGCTAGCAATTGTAGTAAATATTTCAACATACCAAAATTCAAACAGATCCCTTTGAATCCAATTACCACTAGTCCAAACGTATGAAGAGATTTATGTAGTAAAAAATGAAGTAAATGGATTATTATTTTGATCCAAAATGAATAAATTTGTAGCGTCTCCACTTTTAGTAAATTATTTGTATGATTATCATCAAAACTTATAAAAAAGTTTTTGTGTTATGTATCTATTTTTAAAACATAACAGTTATAAAAAAATTAGGCTTAAGAAATGGTCTTACATTGTATATGCGATTACAATGAAAAAAACATGAAAAGATAAATTTTTTTGCAAATGTTTATCACAATAAATGTAAAATAGGATTTAAAAAATTATTAATAATTGATACTTATATAAGATTCTTTTTTTATTCTCAAATTTAGTATTACTTGGTATCAACTGAAAATATAAATCTAAATAAATTGAAAAGTGTTAATACTAATTACATATTATTAATATTGAATAAGATATTCTCACAATTAATTGAGATTCTTCTTTTCATCGCTTTCAAAGCTGTGTATTTTTGTCATTATTACAGGTATTGCAATTAAAAGTAGATCAAATCAAACTAATTAAATATTATGCTCCAAAATTTTTAAATTCATGATGAGTTAGTTCACTAGATCTGAACGTAGAAAATTGAAGAATTATTTGCACTTGGCCAACGCTTTTGAATAATTTTTTGATGACTTGAGAAATCAAACATATCTTCAATATCTTCAAATGAAATTATTTTTGATTTATTTTAGTATAAATAAGTACAACAGAATATGCATAAGTATTAATGTATAATTGTTGTTTTGTTGAAACTTGGTAAACCTGAAACGTTTGTATCATCCTCAGGTGATTTTTTGGGTATTAAAGTTGTAATAGTTGAATAACATTTTGATCCTTTTAAGGATCTTCTCAAATTTGTGTCACTCATTTAAATCATACCATATTTTAATACATTCAATAAAAAAAATATGCGTCAGAAACTGTTTTAGCAATTTAACAAAACCACTTGAATTCAATACACAATATTTTCTAAATATATATAACAATAATTGTAACATTTGGTTTTGCGATCTAATCTATCGGCGTGTATGTATATAATGCTAAATTGGGCTTACCACTGACAATAATAAATCGCTAAATTCACATCTTTCTGACCTACAAATAAATAAAATATTTTTATATAATTATATACTAAATATTGAAATATATAATTTAAAAGTAATTTGAATTTATTAATATATGGCTTAGTTATGTTTCTAAAGCTTCATGGATTAATTATGTTATCAAATTTTCCTATTTAGTTACATTACCAAAGCCACTTGGCTTAGTTACAAGCAGACTGAAAAACAAAGACCTAGAACTTATGAGGAGACGAAGTTGGTAATATCTCTTCTCTGAAAACTTTACCGCACATTACAACACTAATATCCATTTGCGACTAAAATTAACATGAATGATGTGTAGACCAGAATTATCATCTATAGGCAGAATTATATTCATTATATATATACAATAGCTTAAATGATAAGCCCAGTAAAACTGATACTTAAAAAAAAACTATATAAAGTAGAGACTTGCATGAGTCAAAATTTTGAAGCCCAGCTCAGCCTGGACTTAATTATAATTTTTGGCAAACTAAAATTTTTAAACACTCTAAAATAACTGTTAATTATTCGCTTTTAGATCAATTACGGCTCACAACCACTAATTATGTCTTCATTGAAAATTTATCCATCATGTTTGCCAAAGATTTACATCCATGAAAAACCAAGATTTTAGTATCTGATGGTAATAATAAACTTATTTCGGTCATTATAGATGATATAATGAATGAGAGTTAGATCAAGACATAATTTTCACGATTTTCAAACTATTTTAATTTTCTAAAAAGTTCTGATAAATAATGTTCTCATAATTTTTAATTCTAGGAATGGTACAATGAATATATTAGTTTTTACACTAGAATAGGCTCAGTTATCGCTGAATGCGTATTAAGTTCTTATTATGACGATTGTCCTCCTTCTTAGTCTTATTTTTTTACCAGTATGCTGGTGGACCCTTTTCAAACCAAGCACACATTGTGAAAGCCACCTTTATCCCTATATTCAGTTCTTGAAAATGGCATATTTTTCTTTAATCAATTTATTTGTGCAATAATTTTTATATAATTATCATTTTTTTTCTCATTAAAATATTTGCTATTAAGGCCGTTCTCGAGCATCTCAATTGATAAATTGATAAGCAATTTGATTGGCCGAAAAAATTCATTGAGCTACCATTTCGATGAAAAAACCAATGAGCTGTAAACCTCCTTTTTTCTTCAATGATAGATTATGCTCAAGTATTCCTATTCCTTTTTATGTAATCTTGAATTTTTATAACTATTTTGTTTCTTGTAATTCTATATTGATTGTAATACTTGAATATAATGCTATTACTATCCAATTACATTGAGGGAGGTACTTAAGAATGGCTTAAAGCATTCAAATCCAAGTGCAAAATGATCAACATTTTTTTAAAATGGCAAATAAATGAAGGTTTTTGTTTAAAGGATGTTTTATCTCTAAAATTGAAAAATTGAAAAGAAAACAGTATTTTAACTGAAATAAAGTTTAATAATTGATATTCAATTTCTGGAAAAAGTAGCAGCATATTAATTTTTGACGAAAACCTAAATAATAGAAATAAATTATTGAATTGAGGTTACAGCCAAGTTATGCAAATTATTTTACCAATTTTATAATAGAAGAGGTTGATGATATCTTATTAAATTCCATTATTATTAATGAATAATTAATTACTACTAATAATCATTTTGATGATCATTAAAAAAAATTTGATTTATATCAGAATCGAAACAATAATATAATTTTCTTAAAATAATTCAGAAAGCTTGGCCTAAACGAAACTATAATACAATAATAAAATATATTAAATAAAAATTTGTGAAAAATTATAATATAAGTAATTTGATAATCTGAAAAGACGTTTTTGATTTCTTCATAAATGTCATCTTAAACTGGTTTTATTACAAGGTTTTCTAACACTCACCTTGCATTATAAACAAATCAACCTAATATATTTACTCAAATGATACAAAAAGGACTGGCATAGCCAAGCCTACGTATGAACTCTCTTTTTCAGCAGCATCTAGTCTCATTGCATTTCGCACTTTTTATCCAAAGACATTCATTCAGTGTCACATAAAATAATGAACATAGATAAGCCTAAGTATGATCTATTAATCCCTTCAGCATCTGATCTCAACTCATCCTAAATTATGTGCCTTTCAATTAAGAAATATATCAATTTTGCAAAAAAGAACCAACATTTATAATCCTAAGTATAATCTCTACCTTCCATCAGCATCAGGAATTATCCTCACCCTAAATTATATACATTTATATCAAGAACTATTTCAACTTTATAGATAAAAACAAATATGACCTCTCATGTAATTCAGCATCTAGTCTCATTGCGAGAATAAATAATCCTAAATTATGTACATCTCAATCAAGAACTATTTCAGCCTTGCAAAAAAAAATCAATATAGATAAGTCCAAGTACAATCTCTATCTCCCATCGGCATCGGGACTTATCGTGAGATTTTCTCACTCTGAATTATGTACTTTTCAATCAAGAATTATTTCAGCTTTACAAAAAAGTATTAATCTAGATAAGCCTAAGTATGATCTCTTTCTCCTTTCAGTATCTAATCACATCGTGAGATTCCTTACTCTAAATTATGTACTTTTCAATTAAGTATTTTTCAAAATTGCAAAAATGAATCAACATAGATAATCCTAAGTATGATCTTCCTTCAGCATCTTATCTCATCGTGAGAATCCCTGAATTATGTAATTTTCAATCAAGAATTATTTCAACATTGCAAAAAAAGAACCAACCTAAATAAGCCTAAGTATGAACACTTCCACTACTCTCAATATTAAGAATTCAAGTTCTCTTTGAAGGCACTTCAACAACTCACTACCATTTTATTTATTATTTTTTCAGTTTCCTTGAAATTTGTAAATATTATTCTTCATATAAAAGCAGCAAAGAAATTCAAGACATGAGTACTTAAAAATGCAGCGGCGAAAATTATCACAGGAAACTATTTAACAGAGTCAATACTGTCAGAAATAACTAAAAGACATATGAAGGATTTGAAATTTCAGCAGCTGCTATACCTTATATAAATAAATTGAGAAGAAAATATATCAAAAAATGTATATATATTCAGAAATATGATAAAGAGAGACTTTTGTTTCCAATTTTCGATAAAGGAAGACCTTAGCGAAAAATGAAAGTAACCTAAAAATATTTCCGAATCACATTATTACAAAGGATGGAAAGCATTTGATAAAATGGGACGATATCATGTTTACCAACCTAAATGTTTACTTAGGTGAAAGTAAACATCATGTAACCAAGTAAGTATTTATTTTTTAATGTTCTTTATTAATTAGATTATTATTATTTTTAGAAATAAATAACGAGGAGGTTGCTTAAAGAATGGATAAGTTCATTACTAAAGTAAATGCTTTCTCAGACAAAAACTTTGAGACATTACTCAATAAAAAATTATAATGGTGTATTGTTGAGGTTAATTTTTCCGAAAGGTTAAGAAAAGAAGCAAGCAACCATGAAATAATTCATTATTTTAGGAGGGGGAGATACTCAGTTGAATTTCTGATAAAAGTATGATTTCTTGTTTTAAAAATTTAAAAATACTATTATTAGATACATCATAATATGACAAATCTAATAAACTTTATTTCATCTTTTTATGATCACTATATATTAAAATATTATAATTTTTTATATAATATTTTATAATCAATTTTATATCTAGAATTTTAAGAAAATAAATATTATCATAACATTTTTTACAAAATAATAATATATTTTCACTAAGTTATTATTAGTTCTCAATAAATAGATCAGAAATTAAGTAAATATTTAAAATAATAATATATTACATATGTGAGAATTTTTAATTCTTTAAGAAATATTTTGTATTAGAAATATTATTGTAAGAAATATTTTTAAATTTATCTATTTTTTTTTTAAAAAAAGAATGATATTTGTATTTTATATTGTGATTAGCCTTATATTATGCATTAAAAAGTTTTCATTATTTAGAATTTTTAACTAAATCAATACTATAATTTTTAATAAGTTAGTTTTCATATAATAATCTATATATTAGTCTATATAAAATAGTATATTTATTTGAAATTTTTTTTATAGCTTATTATTATTTATAATTATTATAATATGAATTCAAAGTTTAATTATTAATTTCTTATGATCTTAATACTTATTATATTAAATTAATAAATAAGTAAAATTTTTAAAATAAATATAAAAATTTGATAATTTTAAATCAAAATTATTACAGAAAATTGATCATAAATATTTAAAGTAAAGCATCAATTTATTTGCTTAATGCATTATTTCTTAAAAGTTACAAATAATTTCTGTTATTATTTAATTATATATTTAAGGATTTTTAGATTAAATCCAAAATATTTGAATAAACTGATAAAATTATCTTTAAAAAATTATGAATCATCTCTTTTATTTTAATGATAATGATAACCTGCAATAACTAAAAATTGTTCAAATTCATTTGGCATAAATTATAAAAATAATAAATTAAATATTATTATTATTATTGAAAAAATTATTAATCTATAATACTAACTAAAAAAATAGATTAAAATTCACTTTTTTCTAATATAGCAACAGGTAAAAGAATTACTAATTTATATTAAATTATTTAAAACTACTGAATCAAGTTTGATTACTCACTTTTTGAATTACAATTAAGAAAACAGATTATTGTAGAGAATTTTGAATGAATTTAATAGTAAAATTTATATTTAAACTCTTATGAAATAAATAAAGAAGTGTTTAAAACTATTTATTAATATTTAAATTATTAATAAAATTGTATTTTTTGAAATTAATGTAAAAAAAGAATTTTTTAAATATTATAAAAAGCTATATTAATTAGTTTGATAATAATTTAACCTTTAAAATCACTATAAAATTTAAATAGTTTTTCTTATATTACATTTCTAAAATTACTAAATAATCCTTATTTTTATATTTTTAGTATACTTAATCCAAAATAGGGTATTTAATTATTTCTTGAGTTTCAGTTCTAAGATTTGATTTTTAGTTTGTTTAATTTATTTTAATTATAGCAACTTTTTGCTCTTAATTTAAAAATGAGCATTCACTCATTTGATAAAGAATATATTTATCCCAAAAATATTTGCTAATAAAAACTTAAAAATATTTTATATTTATACAAAATTTACATTTATGATAATTAAATATCCATTTTATTTTATATAATATTTTTTTAAAAGAAGCACTGCTTTTAAAACATTTATGTTTTTAATAGAATTTGAAGTTTATTTGTAATTATATTATTATTATTTATTTAATACTTTTCTGATTCAATCTTTAAAAAATAAACTTTTAATTTATTAGTTTAATTTTGAGTATTATTATTACAGGTTATAGTTATCAAAAGTTTTTAAAAAAACTATTCTTTTATTAATCATTAGATTCTCTTTTGACTTGAGTTATTCATAAATGAGCAGTATAAATTTTTTTTAGATCAGATCATTGCAATATAATATTTTATTATTTCTTTATAATTAATTTTATTTCTAAGGTTCTTATCTGAGTTAAATATCTTTGAATGAAATGGCTAAGGTTATTTTCTTTTTTCTTTATTTTTTTTTTCCAATTTTTATGGGTAATTATCTTTTTTTTTATTTTAATGTGCGGTAGCTTTGCATAATCTTTATTTAGGAGTAAAGTAAAATTTTATAAAATTACAAATTACAAGATAGAAAGTACAAAAATTCCTATTTAGCAGTAAAACCAAATCAAAATCAACCTTGCACCATTCCAGACTAACCTATATAAATAGACTTAGAATAGGTTTAATCATCTAGTACAAGGGGTGTGGTTGCTACTGATCTAAAAATTTAACCAGTTCATACTAAACCTAAAAAAGGAGATAAAGTATAAAGGAATACTAAAATCGTGTGGTAATAATGAAGGAAAACCAGTGTTAGTGAAATGTAATTTTTGATCATTGAATAAAATGTTATTGAGATTTTCAAAATTTTTGATATCATTACAATGATCAAGCCAGATAGATTTTATTTGGAAAAATGCATAATGTTAAGTAGAAGATAGGAGACAGTATATTAATTGAAGGTTGTTAATAAGGTGGTATATTTTGTTGAATAGGGGAAGGGGTATAATTCCTTTGATTAAATCAATAAAGTTAAGAGAGTCAGGTCGATTATTTAAGAAACAGATAGTCAAATATATAAGATCCATAAAATTCTGAGTGTCTGAGGTTAATATAATAAGATGTTGTATGAAAACTTTTTGGTCGAGGATATAATGTCAATGAATTAGTGTTCAATTTTGGCATAAGTCCAAATATGATTAAAAGTTTTATAAGCACACGAACATCTAAAACAATTCTATGATTGATCATATAGATTTAAGTGTCTTATTTTGAGGATTTCTAAGGTAGGGAGCAGTTCAAGCATAAGTTTAATTTTAAATTTGCAGATAGAAGAGATTTTAAAGGATGTATAGGAGTTGTTTTCATTATCATTAAGAATAAAAGAGGTTTGAATCCAATTAACATCAATTGTACTGTATTTCTTAAAGTATAGAAGTAGTTATATATTATAAAAATTGATTGATTTGAGAAGTCTTTCACAAATAATCTAGGTGAAATAAGTACAATATTTTCGTTGAAATAAAGATTATAATAGTATTCTAGGAATTTGTTATTTGGTATGATTGGGGGATCACCAGCTTTTTCTAAAGCATCAACTACATTATTATAATGATCATTTGAGTGAGCTTTGACTTTATGAAGTTAATGGAAATGGATTTTTCTCTGATTAACTTTATGACAAGGAACAAAATTAGGTAAAAGGAGATTTTAAAAATGGGGTTAAAAGTAGGAGAGAAGGTGTGGAAGTAGTTCATTTTATCAAAAGATGAAATGACATTTTATGAGTCTATGAAAATATTAACTGCAGCATTTGTAGAAGCTACATATATAGCAGATAGTATCACTACTAGTTCTGCTAGAGAAGATGAAGGTTGAAAAAGGATGAGTGTAGCATTTAAAGAAAGTAAAGGTGCTGAAGGATCAGATTGCAACCAGATCACGTTCATATGGATTGAAGAAGTACCTAAGTTGATAAGAAAACCATCAGTATAAAATGAGAGGTTAGTTGATTGTATGAAGTGAATTTTAAGATTATCTAAACTATTGAGGATTTCTATATTAAAAAATTAATCAGGTATGAGAGATAGAGAAAACAAGGTAGAAGGGACATTAAGTACACTATTATCAATTAAATTGTAACTATATAAAGCAATTTTATAAAGCATATAAAGAGACAAAGAACAGATATGACCAACAGTTGGAAAGAGAGGATCCTTGATGTCAACACATAGATGTAAAGGAAAAATTACAAAGCAAGCTTCATGTTTATTTCTCATATTAGAAGGAACAAAGAAAAAATCATTGTTGAAAGAGCATTTAATACATGGTAATAATAAAGTTTTGAAAGTATGGTCTGGCAATGCATTAAAATGTTATAAGTGAACTATATTATTTTCAATTTTGAGTATCTTTCTGATTATAGCAGAATAGGAATTTAAATGTTAACTTACGGCAAAATGTGTAATACTTTTAATATAGGTCAGAGGAATTGAGTATATATTATTAGTGTATAGGTAATAATAGTTTGAAGGAATGATTCTTATGTTGGGTGATAATATAAGCAATGATTGTAATTTGAGAAACCAAACAGGAATCTTGGGAATTACCAGATGAGCAGCTAAAAATTTGAGGTCAGGTAATGTGAAGAGTATTGCACTATCTGATATTATTTGATCAAGAAACATAAGTTGTTTGCTTCTTAAGACTAGAGCAAAGATGCGATAATCTGTTTTATTGAAAATCCCATATAAGAAAAATTGTTCTCCTTTTATGCAATTAACATCAGTATTATTATTAGAGATGGTGATATTGAGTGATTTTAGGGCAGAGGGCAGAGCAGATCACCAGTTTTTAAATTTGAAAGAATCATTATATAGCCAAAATGCTAAAGGTGATTTAATAAGCCATTCATTATTTTGAAGCAATCTAGAACGAATCAGAAATGTAATGCCTAATAGATCTTTATTATTGATAGATTTGATGAAATTGGAAATTTTTGCTTGAATTTACGCTAAATATAAGTGTGTAATGTTGTAAAATAATGATAAATAAATAATGGCTGCTGGGTACTTTTAGATAAATGTAGATTTGACCTAAAAACTTTTCGATATGTCTTCATAATCTGATCACAGAATTTGTAGTCAAGAAATGTTAATTGAGTGTGATATAGAATTTTTGGCAAGAAGACTGAATTAAAGACTACTTTGAGTTATTTATCTATAAGAAATTTTTTTTTAATTATCAAAGTAGCGTTATAAATTTCGTTCTTTATTTATTGTCTTATAAATGGGCAATTTGGGAGAAGAGAGGTCCAAATACTGAGATAACGAGTAGATGATTTAAGGTCTATTGATTTAATCCATTTTTCATTGTGTGCTAGTCTAAAATATATGGATGATACTATCAGTACTGAAGAAAGTAATACAGATTTATTTCAGTTAACTAGAATACTATTAAGTTGGTAAAAATCATCAGCTATTATTAAGAACGACTCAAGATCATTCTTAGATTTACTAATCCAAAAGGTATCATCCATATAGGCAAGTGTAGAGACGTGTTAAAACTGTAGATGTTAAGGTATTAATGAGTTGTAGGCACCATTCAGCTAATAGATTATAATTAAGGTTAGTATTTTGTATGCAACATAATAAGGGATCATAATATATATACTAAAGAATTGGTGAAATAATTTCACTTTGATCAATACCTGAGATAACTGGATAATGATCTGTATTTCTATGAGCTGTGAAAATTTGATTAAAGCAATTAGAGAATAAGGAAATAGAAAAATGATGAAGGAAGATGCAAACGATTGAGCGCATGAGTTAACATTGTGATATTAACTCTGTCATAGTCTTTTGACATGTCTTGAAAAAAGATCTAAAGTTGTTTGCTCTTATGTGATAATTGATCATATTTTATGTTGTCGAGAATGTGAATTGGTTTAAATCTAGAATGAAACAGTAATCCAACAAAATTGTTTTCTTGTAAGACTGAATTTTTTGAAAGAATATCTAAGAGCCATTTGTTAATTAATTTCACAATTGCTTTTTAAGAGCATTGTAACAAAGTAATAGGGCAAGTATTATTTAAATTATATTCCCATGATTTGGATTTTGGGATGGGATAGATGAAAACCAAATTCCATCTGTCAGACATGCAGGAAAGTTTCAGATAGGCATAAGTGAAGATCCAAGAAATTATTTCATTTTAGGGTCTAAATGTTTCAATATCTTATTTGAAATTTTGAAAGGATCGGAAGCTTTATCATTAGTTAATATTTGAAGAAGTCAATTCCATTCGTCTTCACTTAGTAGATCTATAAGGTTTTTATAAATCTGAGGATCAATTGTTTTGATGGGTTCGTACCATTTTTTCCAGTTATCAGAAAGCAGAACAAAATAGTGTCTAATACCTGTTGTTTGTTGAAAGTATCAGTTAGTTTCATATTTGATATCATCAACTAGGTAAGTAAACTAAGATCATCAGGTGAATTGTCAAGGCATTTATACAGAACAATTGTTTATCTTTATCTATTAAGGATACAATCATACATCCTGGCTTAATTATCATAAAAATTATTACATTTGTATTAGAGAGCTGCTTTAATTTATTTCATTTATATTTGTTCTCTTCTATATTTGATCGCAATCAAATAGACTTTAAGTAACTCAGAAATATTCTGTTTGATTGTAGTGAGGTCAGAAAGTTGAGGGATGTGACCAGTTTAAATTGTATTTTATCAAAATATCAAAATCTATATTGTATGTCTGAGGCTAGTTTAATGATAGGAAATTGAGGCGAATGCATTTTTTGTTGTGCGTTAAAACTTTTGTATTAGAACTAATTATTTATAAAAATTCTTCAGTAATCTTAGTCTAAAATCACGAAAATGTTAAGATGAGTACTTTAACGGAATACATTATTCTGCTACTTTTTTGATACATCCTTATATGAGATCCCAAAAGAAATTGAGTGCATGTTTTGAGTGTAATCTATTGAAAGTGAGGTTGAATAATTAACAGCTTTCAAGAAAACTATCCATCTTTTTACCAAATTGTGTTCAAGAGTTTTTGTCAATGGCATCATAAAGGTAAATTTTCTTTTTGATATATTTTTTATCATTATATGATATTGAATGATCAGAAATGTTAGGATCAACACTGATAGTTTGGGCTTTGTTAAGGCCTGCTGCAATATGTGATATAGTGTAAATATGATTAATTCTTAAAAGTTGATAATACGTAGTGTAAAAAATGATGGGAATAGTTGATTAGCATTATCATATAGGAGATTGAATGAGTTAAAAAGTTGGAAGTCTTCAAGTTAGGTGAAGAAATAATTAGCATTTGATATATTATTAGAATGATCTGTAACCGTATTTAGGTTACCTAGTAAAATAATTTCCATATTGAGGTCTTTTGCTGATTTAATGATGTTGCATACTTCTTTATATATTTGTTCTTGAAGGGCTGTATTTGAACTTGATATGTAGCAGTTAATTAATCTGATGCAGAATTTATTACGAAATTGAAAATCGATGAAAATATAACATCTGTGTTGATTATGACGTTTGTAAATATGATCAGTAATGTGATTTTTATAAGAAGGCTAACTCTGAAACCTGAATTCTATGACTATTGATCAAAATTGAAAAAATGCGAATATTGAAACGAAGTTAATTTAAAAAAGGATAAAGTATTATTGATTGATTTAAAATTAATTTCTTGAAAGCTTATTATATATATATAGTTAATTTTATAAGTGTTGAATAAGAATTGGTATTTTTGTGATTAAACAAAAGAGCAAACATTGTGTGTCACAATGTTGAGTTGAGAGAATAATGTATTATTAATCAAAAATAAATTGTGGGTAATGTTAGTATTTGTTGTTTTGTTATTTGCTATCAGGTTACTGAGGCTAATATATTTATAATTCTGTGAAATATTAATCATTAAAAATATTTGAAGATAGGAGAATAAAGATAATGTCAGCTATTTTTTTATAACTAGAAGGAGGAGCAACTTCTTCAATAGCAATAAAGGCGTCTGGATTAATTTTAAGTTATGTTTGTAAGATTCTTTGCATATTAGCCTATATTATTGAGTTTAATCATATTATTTTCAAGGTTAGTTTTGAGAAGAGCATTCTCATCTCTTAAGGTAATTAGTTCACAGATTGTTTGGCAATAATATTATCTTTTGTATAGAGACCAGTGGGATAGGTATCCTCCTCAGTTTCTATATCATCTTACTTGAATGATTTGTTTAGTAATCTGCTTAATGAGAGAGTAAGACATTGATATTAAGAATTTTTTCAACCATAGCAACTCATTTCACAGTTAAGCAAAGATCTGAATCCATTTTGGCGAGTTGTTTAGAGATAGTGAACAGTTAATTAGAAATTTGAGTGAGCAATTCTGGTTGTGATGGTTGATTTGAGATATCATTTGCCATGCAGTATTCATCATTAGTTTCATCAGCTCAGCGATGTGATACATGTATACTAGCATCTAAAGTTTGTTCTCCTTTATTATTAATAGGATGAATGAGGGTGGTATGTTATTAATTATGATTTTCATTTAGTGGTTTAGACTTAGGAACTTTTATTTGACGATTGGGCAGAATTTTAATATTGTTTGGCTTAGATTTATCTTTGATATTGTTTTGTTGTTGAAGCAGTTTGTGTTTATCTGTAGTTAGTGATTTCTTAGAGTAGGGTAGTAATTTAGGAATAATGACAGATGTTTTGTAATTATGAAACTGTGCAGTCTGATAGCATTAGTATAGGTATTGAGTTTGTCAATCTTATGAAACTGAACAGTTTTTCGATAATTCTGCGATTAGTGACCTAGAACTTAGCAGATGAAGCAAAGTTTTGCATTTGGATCAGTTCAGATTAATCATTTTCTATCAAGGAAATAAGTTAAACCATTTTTTGCTGCTTTTATAGATTCTTTAGTATTAAAATAGAAAATGGCATATTGTAGATTTCTGTAATTAGCATGTGACTTGAGGATGACCTAGGCAATCACTTCAATAGCATTGCCAATAGAGATTAAATGGCATCCATTAATGTCAAGTAGAAGGTTAATTAATTTCAAAGAAAATTCTGACTTTTTCCTAACATCTTTGACTGACATAGTAAATGGGTGTACCCTAATTAAATCTTTGAGAACAAAATAGCTGTTAAGTTTATTTAGAGTAGTCATATCCGTGTTTTGTTCAAATATGAGAGTAGCTTATTGCCAAAGGTTTTTAGTGAATATGACGCAACGGGAGATTTTTTCAAAAAAGGAGAAGGTCATTCTAATATTTGATTTAGTAGTAGAGATCAGGATCTCAGTGAGACAGATTAACAATTCAGGATGTATTTAGCTATTGGTCTGATTGTAAAGGGTAAGAATGTGTCATTTTCCAAACATGAAAGTTTAAGTATAATTGCATTGTTTATTTTAACATGTGAGGTAAAACCAATTCAGACGATTTTCTTTGTTGAGTTATCGGGTAAGTATAAATTGAGGCACTAATTAAGGATGAGTAATATGGTGTAAATATATCACATGCTTCATTTTGTTTGTCTCTGTTGGATTTTTCAGGGTAAAACTTATCTGTGATGCAATAAGTGAAGTAGATTAGGGCTTCAGTTTCGCGTTCTAAGTGGATTTCATTTTTATCATTTTGTTTGTTGTTGAGACTATTTTCAGAAGTATTAAAGCTTAGTCTTTATCAAGGGGAATGTTTTCATCATTATTAGAAGTTTCAGGACCTTTTCCTTTGTTTAAGATATTATGAAGCGAAGTTTTAACTTCCATATTTGTAGAGCTGTTAGAGGTACTTCTAGAGGCGTTTAAGTTTTCAGTTTGTTTTGGTAGTTTAATATATTGTTTCTTAGCTGAACATTATTGTTGTTAGTCGTTCTCCATAGGGGAAGAGCAGCTTGATAAGGTTTGAAATTATTGTTACAAGCGGTTTTTTTTCCAGTCATTTTTTGTTTTAGTGATCGACAGAAAGAATTTTGTGGGTAATTATCTTTATTTTTTGTATTTAATATAAATAAATTTGTCAAGACTACAAACGTGCATGTAAAAATGTTTATAAAGAGTTGGGTCAAAATATTTGATAAATATGTCAAAGTTTGTGTATTTCCAAAAGTGAACATTCTTTTTTAAAGGTTTTTATTCAAAATTGACAATGATTTTGAAAATTTTCACCTGAAAGAAACTGAACGATTATTTTTCATCTATTCATTCCAATAGTGTTCCATTGGACCAATCAATCTAGTGACTAACACTGAATGTAATCTCAGATATTTGAAGATCTATTTTTTAGCCAATTAAGTCATTTAATAAATTGAGATGCATTTCATTTATTTCATTTAAGAGTTGCCTTTCTAATTACCATTATCTAAAAATTAATTAGATTCAATTGAAAAAATAATTAGCTAACAAAGTTATTGCTAAAGTACGTTATTTTGAAATTATAGTTAATTTACAAAAATAAATTCAAATTCATATTGATTTACTATACATCTTAAATTAATTAAAAATAAATAAATGATCTATTAAATTCTTAAATATAAAAAGTGCACATCAAAAAAGGAAAAAAAAGTCTTATTTAAAAGAAAATACTGTAAAATCAAACAGTAATAACAATGCATTCAAAATTATTTGCCCTTTTAATGATGCTTACATTATTTTACGCTTATACGATATCAGTCTTCATTGGTAAAAATGAATGTGCAAATCCAGCACTATTTTGTGATGGTATTTGTTTAAAAAAGTATTCTTGTGAACTTTAATTTATGTAAACTTATTTAAATGTATTGTAAGTATTTAGATAGATTGCTTTATTAGTCGTAAAAACAAAAAATGCATATGTAATTGTTGTGACATACAAACAGAAAATGCAAAACGCTTTTTTTCATAGTGGATTTTGTAAATTTTGAATATTATTTTCTTTAAAAAAATATCTTCTAGTAATATACAGGGGGTATAAAAATTATGGACAGTTTTGAAAATTTTATTACAAGACAATTAACATATTAAATTTATTTTTTTATTTTATTGAACTACAGGTTAATATTTCGTTGGACCTCTATTTGTAGCAAGAACGGCCTGAACCTAACATGGTATTAACTTAATCAAATTTTGATAATAATTTACGGATACCGCATCCCATTCTTTCTTAACTTACTGCTCCAATTGCACAACACTTAATGGCTGAAAATCACGCTTACGAATTCTAACCTCAATATATGACTAAATGTTTTCTATAGGATTAATACCTGGGCTTTGCGTCAGCCAGGGAAGCAATTCAACATTCGAGGATTTGATAAGAGAATGTGCGACTTTTGCGGTGTGGACAGGTGCGTTATCTTCTTGAAAATAAAATTTTTTTTTGATCTTTTTTCGCATGAGACTTAACCATGGGAATTGCATAATTAATCAAGATATTATGATGTGTATTTCCAGTTACGCAACCAACTAAAGGAACCAAATGACCCATACCAACCCAGAAAAAAAACCCCCAGAACATGCGACTAAAGCTCTTTTGAACCATGGCTGTAATGCAGTCTTTGTGAAATTCTTCAGAAGGTTTACACCATATTTGCCCAAAACTTGACGTTCTTAATTGTGTATAAGTAGACTTGTCCAACTATACTACTTTTTTAAAATCTTCTACAGTCTAATTTTCGTAAGTACAAGCCCAAAGTAAACGCCTTTCTTTATTAGTTTCAGAAATTAATGAACTGAAGTGAGGAATGAGTGAGTGAAGACCTTGTTTAACCAATTCATTATGGACGGTTTGTTTGGAAATAGTTTTGTTTGTTTTATTTATAACATTTAAACGTATTTGGGAGAGGGTTTAATGTCAGGTTTTTTTATTCCTAACCACTGGTATGCTTGAGATGTTTGCATTCTGCTTCGTTAAGGATTCGTGGTCGACCTGTTTGTTTCTTCAGAAGTTGTTTTAACTCATATGACTTCCATACATGTCGAACAAAGGAATGAGAGCAACCAACAACTGCAGAGATTCTGGAATTTGAATGGCCTAATTTTTTTGCAGCAATAATTCCCCCTTTTTGAACATTGCTAAGTTCTTTTCTGAGACACATCGTTGCGACAAATTTTTTCTTACTATATAATGTAAAAAAATTTTTTGTGTGCCCAAATGACCTCATTTATATATCACAATGACTTTTGTTTATATTTTTAGTTAGACACAGTCACGCGCAATTAAAAATGGAAATTATGGCTTGATTCGGCAGAGGTATAACGACACGCGCCACTTTTGCGTCATATTAACCAGGGTGGCCAATACTTTTTATACCCCCCTGTATGTGTATTTTTTCATTATATGATTCATTTTTTTAGTTTCAATAATATAAAAATTGAAATTATCATTAATCTAATTAACATTAAACTTCTTTGAGTTCATACTTTTAACAGTGTAACGATAGAGATGATCTTTAATTAGAAAAAAGAAAGAAAATTAAATTAAATTGCAAAGTAATAAATGTAACGATGCCCGAATGCGTTAAAGGAAATGAAAGAGCTATTTAAACCATATTATGACGATCTGCGGTTACAATTTATAAATGTAAGCAGAAGGTTTTTATTGAGTAAAATGAAATAAAAGTGACGCTAAATTTATTTAATAATATCAAATTAATCAGTGTTGCCTCAACGTCGGCGCTCTACACTTTCGCAATGTCAATATATTAAACTAAATAAATGCCATTCAATAACACTCTACTCTATTTAATCAATTACGAAAAATTGTATAATAAAATAATAAGAAAAATCGGAAATTAAAAAAATAAACGAAATCACAAATATAAAATTAAAGATGTTAAAATGGCGAAAGCGAAAATATCGCGAAGGGATTAAAGGAAGGTTTTTCAAGGTTTATGTATGCAAATACAAGAAGGGCAAGCGTGATGTTGGGTTGTTTAAGGATTTCCAGCTCGTATTTATAAATAAATAATTATTATGACGGCCTGTTCCTGCCGAGCGAAATTATATTCAATATAACAGTAATAACGAAATTTCATTTTTATCTTAGGTCTTATTAGGTTTAAAAATAAGACTTAGAAACGGATGGTAGAAAAATTACCTAAATCTAACTTCTAAAAAAAAGGGCAAGACGTGATTTTATATTAACTGAAATATTTATATTTTTTAAAAAAAGTTCATTTCGTGATTTTTTGGCGTAATAGCTTCATCAAAAACATTTTGTATATTTAATAAATTAAAATAAAAGTATTATTTACACTTAAATTATTAATTTACGTATTGATATTGTTAAATCACTTAGGAAATAAATTTTACTTGACATTTTAAAAAATAAAAAATTTGACAATTATGTTGGATTTTTTAAATTTTACATATACAATTCAAGAAATTTATTTTTAAATCAGAAAATTTTTTGTTTGAATAAAGTAATAATGATATAATCTTGTAAAATTCAATAAATTAATCTATAACGACAGATTAAATTAGAGAACGGCGCTTTATATAATAGTTGCAAAACTATTGAAGAAATATGTTGAATTCTATTGGTT